CTGTTCATAATTGATACACTCCTTATCCCTGAGCCAGAGTAGGCGTGGCATTTGAACATGGCACGGAACTGGTTACTCGTGGAATATTCCAGTCTGGGACAACTGTCATCTTGTTCTGTGTTGGACAGAGACACGACAACAATTGTGTCAAGATGAAAATATCTCACCAGAAGCATAGACACCTTCAGGTTAAGTTGAAACATGCGGCCACGCCTACCCGATCTCAGGGATTTCGAGTATACTTGCGCTCACCTGCACACGCGACCCTCTAAACCGACAACATTCCATAGACAGGCAGCCGCCGAGGTGGCGTGTGCAGCTAAGCTAAGACACGCCCGTCCAGGCGTGGTGGTATTGAGTGTATCTGCCTGTTTTATTGGAACCCTATGAAAAGTTCAAAAGGAAAATTTACCCGGACTTGTAATGTTTAAGATAAAAATTTGATGCAATCCTTTCCAGTGAACCATTATTTGGAGCTTCCTTAACGTCGAGCAAAAAACACATCAAAGAATATAGATCGATAATTTCCGCTACTGCGTCTGCCTGAAAAATCAATAGAAACATTCATAGCTATTTTTGTATTTTGTAAAAATATATCCTATGAAGGCAGAGGGTGCGTTGATTCAGTGACACAAGACGATTCGTTCCGCGTAAGCACTAGGTATTGAATATTGTGTTTAGTCGAAAAGTGTTTTCTTTAGAAATTGACCTTTTAGCACTAGATTCGATGGCATAAACTGACCATCGGTGGTTTCCATCAAATAATCGAACCAGGAACCCACTTGTATCTCAGAAATCTCGAAGGTACGGTCCTTGATCACCTATAAGAACCGAAAATTCCCTGGAACGAGGTTGGGTGGACCGCACAGTGCAATCGTGCTCACTTTGGGGCAGAGATTGTGAGTAGAGGTAAAGGAGCAAAGGGGCTAAAGACTCCGCTCCCGTTCTATGTGCTCTACATACAGTCCTTATCCCTGGAACGGAGTAGGTGTGGCACTTCGATATGGCATGGGATGGGTTATTCGTAAGATATTTCAACCTGACACCATTGTCATCTTGTTCTGTTTTGGACAAAAACATGACCACAACTGTTCCAAAATGAAATTTCTCACAAAAGCTCAGTCACCGACACGCTTAGCTGAAATACGCAGCCACGCCTACCACATCACTGGGATTTCGAGTGTATCTGCGTACATGATATTCTATACCTCTGACTGTATGATCACTGCAGAGCCTTAATCCACCTCTCAAGGTTATAAGCACCTGAGAACTTCATCCCGGCAGGACGCATTTATTTTCATTTTATTCATCTTGGACAATATTCATACTGACCTTTACAGCAGTTTCAAAAAGGCTAAATGCGCGTCCTAAGGTACTAAAGAGTAGTCGAACTACGTGGTTGACCTCATTAAACAATTACCATTACCTTGCAGTTTATCTTTCGGTAACCCTATTTTTACTGGAATTTGCGAGCATCACAATGTCTACGGACAGTTTGAGCTCAATTCCTTTGGCTGCGTTTATACTTTGCGGCAGCGTAGCGTAGCGCTTCCAGCGTACGCCAGTTTATGTTTCGGTAACCCTATTTTTACTGGAATTTGCGAGCATCACAATGTCTACGGACAGTTTGAGCTCAATTCCTTTGGCTGCGTTTATACTTTGCGGCAGCGTAGCGTAGCGCTTCCAGCGTACGCCAGCGGCAGTGCCGAAGAGAGGATGCATATCGATCTAGCTTCACCAGCGTCACCAGCGGCACGCTAGCGCACGCTGGCGTAGCGAGGGCACGGGAAGCATAGCTATCGATCTAGCTCGCAGCCGTTCTCGACGCGTTTTCTTCTCCAGCGGCACCAGCGTTTTGCAGCGGCAGGGAGTAGAGACTATGTGGCCGTGAGAGACGCGGAATCGACGTGTATTGTAGAGACCATGTGGCCGTCGGAGACGCAGAAGCGATGTGCATTGTAGAGACTATGTGGCCGTCGGAGACGCAGAATGGATGTTGCATTGTGGAACTAGGCGAGTGAGAGACGCGCAATCGATGTGTTTTGTACCCTCCAGCTCTCCCATAGTCTCTACTCCCTGCCGCTGCAAACGCTAGCAAAACGCTGGTGAAACGCTGGAGAAACGCTGGCGTACGCCAGCGTGCCGCTGGTGACGCTGGTGAAGCTAGATCGATATGCATCCTCTCTTCGGCACTGCCGCTGGCGTACGCTGGAAGCGCTACGCTACGCTGCCGCAAAGTATAAACGCAGCCTTTAGAGCTTCGGATTTGTGTTTTTCTCTGCTCCCTGCCGTCCCGAGCGGCACTCTATGGTCATTGTACAATACTTTGCGCATTCCAGCTTTCCACAAGTGCTCACCCACCCCGGTGTCCCCCCTCCCTCGAAAAACCTCGTTTCCTGACTCGCCATGGTTTCTTGCACGTCTCGGTGCTTTGGCAGGCGCTGTCCTCTATCTGTCTGCGCTTCTTGATTTCGCAACAGGACCATCCGCAAAAGTTCAAGATGTCACGTAACCCATTAGAACAGGACGCGCGCGGTTGCTGCTATGAGAAGCGCTTACTTAGGGGAAGATGATTAAAGCCAACACATATGATGATAACAAAAAAAATCCCAAGTTCACTAACTCGGAATGTCAAACCAATCTTTGTTTTCCTGATTTTTTTTCAAAATAAAAGACAAACTTTATGACTGTTGCCGATGTCGGGCCCACTGAGAATAAGAAATGCTTGCATTTCGGGACTATATGGATCTTGCCCATGTGTGGAACTGTTCAGCGTTTTCCTTCCATAGTCAAATCTTCTAAACGGAATAATGCAGACTTGAAAAGGAGCATGAAGTCTGTGCATTCAAATCAATACTAAAATGAACCATACTCGTTCAATTCTTCCTTTTTGCATGCGAAATCAGTCTCATATCCAACTCCAGGTTCAAGTATCACGTCCCCTATTCGTGATGGTATCCTTTTGTAGAAGTGGTGATCGGGAAAATTCTTAAACATATGGTCAATAAGTACATAGAACCGTTTCCGCTGCAGACGTAAGGGTGTGTCAGGGGGTTGGGCCTAGTGCAGCGCAGGCCTGTTCTTCACAGCTTCTTGAAGCGGGCAATTGACAACGATTGGTGGGAAATGGGCAAAAGTCACGCCAACCCAACTTCCTGACAAGCTCCAGCATCGGCAGCAACGCTATCGGCCTACATTCATTTCACCATATGCGCTACACCTCATACATTCACAGGACGCCAAACAATTCCTGTAACCTTCCAGCTCGGTGAGCAGGTATGAGCAGGTCAGGGAGCCAATCTCTACGAGAAAGCTTCGACGAAGAGGGGTATTCAGTAGCGGAGGAGAAAAGGGATCGCATTCAGCCAAATGAAAATTTTTTAGATTTTTTCGGGTTGTTTTTCTGTCTCAGTGGTGCTATGTGCCCCCCCCCCTCCTCCCCAGCTTTATTCTACCGCGGTGCAGTTCTACTATGTCTTATAGGTGGACTAAGGGGAGTCCTTCCCTCTCCATGGGTGTTGGAGGTCATGCTGGACAAAAGATCCCCCTCATACATGACCCTGAGTGAATAGATCCCGCGATCGAGTGTTTAAGGCATCCCCAGGAAAATGTTTCGCAGCGGACTGCTCCCTCATTTACCCCTACAAATACTGACATGCGAACAACAAAGGATTGTCTGAGAAGTACCGTATAAAAGGAGAGATACAAATTACTCACATCTTTTGTGAAGACTTTGATCTTCAGTCCATTTTCAGCCACGGCTTTTGTCAGGTTATCGTACACTTCACGGGCAACAGCCTCATCAGTGGTGTATATCATGTTTTGCCCCACTTTGACACGACTATAATCTACATAATCCCTTACACAGAGAATATTTGATATGCCTTCAATCTGCAACAAGAGAATCGTGCTTCCGAAAGGTCCACATTTCCTGCAGCTTCACATATTACAGAACTTTGCACATAATATCTAACAATTAAAGACAAATGTGCACTCACCTATGTGGACCCTAGTCCTCGCTATGTGTGAGGTAGCTGGGTCTGAAGCTGCAGTAGCATGGTACTTTCTCCGCTAAGAAGCTCCACAGGAAGGAAGCTGAAGGGTAGCGGTACCAATCTGGCGTCTCCATACTCAACCCGCGCTGCCGCTGGCCCAACCATAGCCAAATGCGCTACTTGTCAGCGCCCTCTCACTTTTGCTTGTTGTCTATCACCGATTGTGTGACTTCGCTGCGGGATTATGGTATGGACGTAAGTGCAGCACATTGAGAATAGCGCGGGCGGAGTACGGAGACGAGACTCGTGTATTACTGCTTCTCAGCCCCGCTCTCGTGCACTTTTGAGAGGAAAAACGACATGGGATACCCGCGGACCCTTCACTTCGTACACGGAAAAGGTCGTGCTCGGAGATGGGTATAGAGTTTGTTTTCAAGGAAAAGGTAATTGATGGACAGCAGGCACATACAACGACTCTACTTCATCACTTATGTCTGCTTGTCTGCCCCATCTCAGCAAGATAAAGTGTAATGACGATATGCCTCTATTCTATTCGCGTTCGGTTTCTCGCACAATATATGCCTGCTCTCTCTCCAAAAACGTTTCTAAACTGCTCCATAAAAAGATATCACAGCCCGGAGAGTCGCTGCCGTCGTCGTCAGCGCGCCGACTTCTATTTCCCAAGTTCCAAGTTTTTAGGCCTTTTTTTGTAATGTTCCACCCCTGGGTGGTGTACGTTCCACCACACTGACTCACCTGCTTAGCGCGTTCGCGCTCACCTTCCTAGCCGGAAGAGGGCTGTGCAAGGACTTCTACAGCGTCCTGCTTGGCTGGTGGTAGCGGCGCTTTACAGCACTGCGGGGTCTGCCTTATGGGAGCGCTTCTACTCCAACTCTCCAATTACATTTGCCTCAAAATTTATAACTAATTGAATAAAGTATAGTAAGTGAAACCTGAGCATGTCCATGATCAGCTGTCAATATGATGTTGATTCTATCGAGCAGATCATGCTTCCGCAATTTCATCAATCAGGCGTTTGAAAGTTGTATCGAGTTCGGCGAGAATCTTTTCTAACGCACCGTCATTGAAGCCGTGCCCATGAAGAGTATGGTCAGGCTCTTCTATGTACCTTCAACAATGAATGGATGGTTCGAGGGAATGATTGTAGTTATCTTTCCAGTAAGTATAAAACCCCTTTTGAGCTAAGAGCACCGTTTTGCGGCGACTCTTGTGCGGGCACCGTCGCTGGGTATTCTGGGGTCTGGTATGCCGCCCACCCTGGGGTAAGCACTTAGATTTCACTTCTCAGTTTCCAACTGTGCACTTCCCAGCACGGACGCTGCCAGCAGTATACTGATGACAGCTACTGCTGCTACACTCCAGAAGTCTGGACAGTCAAGAGAGGCTCCGATGATGTCGCGTACCGTCTCCGATATCCCATGAAGCAAGAGTTTACAGTCTGCTTCGCTGCTGATGACGGGGCCGGGTTTGGCGCGCCACCAGCCCGTTCTCCACCAGTTGTTGAAGCAGATAAGCGACAACAAGTGGTGGAAAACGGCTGATACGAACGATTGGACATGGTCTTGTTGCTTGCCGGAAGAAAAAAGAAAAATCGGGCTGGCACCGCGCCAAACCCATCCGCCTTGATACGCCCACACTGACTTCAGTTATAACGACTGTAGGTGATTATAAGGTATCGCACACTTTAAGATCTAGTACTCATGGCGCCAAAGATAAAATTACAGTACTGGTAAGAAATTTGAAAATTCAGAATCATCGGCTGCCAATGCGATCCACCTTGTTAGTTAACTCTCACCATGCAACGAAATTCATTGGATAGTCCTCTCTTGTGAAAAACTCAATGATCGTATCTATATCCTTCATCCATTCATCAGGCTTTTGATATTTTGTCCAACTTCTGTAATACAGATAAATTATACCATTTTCACTTTAAATTCACCCCTTTTCAAACCAAATTCACCCTCACTTTTCAAATCAAATTAACCACACTTATTAGGGCGGGCAACTCATCAACCAGATCACGCCAGACATCACTGCGAGCCCCGCCCCGACGGCCACGCCCACTTGTCAGCGCGGACATAGATTCTCAAATCTTGTTTCATAACTTCTGCTTTTGCTGTTTCCCACAAACACTTTGACTGGAAACGACCGGGCATTGACACATGGCCGACTCCGCCCATTCTCTAAAGGGTTTGGCAATCTAGGCTGACCACGCCCACTTGCTTTTCGCGGAATTTTGATATTTTTTCAAAATTTTTGCATTTTAGGGCTGCTGCGTGAAGCCCCGCCCACTGTGAGAGGCTCCGCCCACTTTGAAGAAGCCCCGCCCACTTTTCAAAAATGGTGCAAATCGGCAGTATAGAGTCTCGGCTGGCATGCTAGGGTACTCCTGATCATTCGGAACAAGAAAATCAGGCAAAGTTTGTTGGCAAATTACGATTCTCTTGCCCGTCTCCCTTCGGCTGTATCCGCGCCTCATTTATGCACATCTTTGTACTGCTGCTGTCATTCAACTATTTTTTTTTAGCTAAGCGTTTTGCCGTGAAGCATCCATAGAAGCTTAGAATCAGACAAACTGAGTCTACGAATGAAAGATCTCCTTTTTTGTATTATTTCACATGAAACATTCAACAAAGAGACGTACGTGTAGTACATCGGCTTATTTGCATTGGGATAATTTGCATCACAGGCCGGCCATTGAAGGCAAGCGGAATGTCGAGTTGCATCTGCTCTGAAAACTGCATTAATGTATGAAACGTTCAAAAAGTGAGTCTCCGGGGCTTGATACACCCTTGTCGGAATGCGTGGCGCATCAGTCCTCCTTTCAGAATCGCAGTGACATTTTAAAAGCTGTTCCGTACAAAGAGGAATCCCCAGTGGTAAGACAGTGTGTGAATGTTTCTGTCTTCCTGGCCAAGCTCGGAACCAGCTATCCGACCTCGTAGCGGTGGATGGAAGGTTCCATCTGTCCGGAAGAGAGCTAGTCCGAGATATGGTCCTCAGGCCGCGTACGTGAGTGTGGAGAGGCACTTGGGATCCACTACCCTCCAGCCTCGTCCATGTGCACTTCTGAATGGAAAAAGTGGCCTACCGCAGTTACGGACCCGTCCACATCACACTTGTGAAGGGCCGGCCGTACGCGTACGTTTGTCTCTGCCCACCCTGAAGAGGCATTACATCTCCTACGCAGTCTTAGCTCGCGACACGAGCGATTTAGTTCCGCGAAATTGCAACTGCTAGTACAACCGCATTAAAGAAACGGTCCGCGATGGGCTATACAGATGTGAAACATTGCTTTGGAAGGATAGAGTATTCCACAATGGACACCTTGTAAGGTAACGAAGATAAGGCATATAGTTGCATCAGAGGTACCTCCCTTTCTTCCAGTGACTCCGCCTCCAGACTCCGCCCTCAAATTCGCCTTCCAACTAAAAGCGGTGCTGGCGGACAAGAAGCATGAAATGGAGGCTGTCATTGTCTCTTGTGGGGTCATAGGGTTCACTGCAAGGAATCAACCCATCGGGCTCTTCCCAAGGTGTGGTTCTTTGACCTTTTACCCGTGCATTCGTTTGAGGCTGGAGGGGTTCTATCAAAGGCGTTTTCGACAATCCTTTTGGAATTTCTTCTTCAGAGATGAGTCACTTGACAACTTCTCCATATTTCATACTTCCATATTTCAACACCATTATCTGCACTCTTTATCGCAGACCGTGCCTTAGGGACAGAACTTCTTCCGACCGTTGAAGTGACCCAACGATCAGTCGTGTAGCGCACCCGGTGGCAGATCCCATCATAAATCGTTTGAAAAAAAATGCAGCCTCATGCGCCGCTGTCCCCTACAACAACGTAGGAAAAATCTTGAATCAAATTCATATGCTTTGAAGAAGGATATTCAGTCATACTTTTCGTTTGTGATCCATATCGGTTCTCCCAAGTACCATGAAGGCTTTCTAGATTCCTCTAAGATTCCAGGTGTTCCGGAGAAATTATAGTAATCATACCTGAAAAGAATAGCAGTTTCTTCCGTTTAGATCTGAACATAGCCTTTGAAGAACGCTCACAAATGGAGAGTGTTAGACAATTGATCGTGTTCGTAGAACTATATTGGAAACGATACCATGACTTTCTGCATGAGCCCTGAGAAAGAAGGTGTAGCTCAGATTCTCACATGTTACGACTTAGTATACGGTAGAAGTAGGGGAGAGATGACGCTTCTTTGACGTCACTTAGCACGATTGCGACAAAATAACCTGTATCTTATCATCATCAGTGACGTCTTGAGATTGCCATCAAAGTAGTATATGACGTCACGTCATCTAACTCCTAACTGGTAATCTACCGGACTGCGTATTCATGCCCAGCGGCTATCAGGATCGCCACATTATTGAGTCACAAAATTGAAAAGTTACCTGTAGCTATACCCATATGATTTGGAGTTGTGAAACTGACATACTGTGGTCTCATACCGTTAGTAAACCAAGTCTCTTTAGTGGCCCATTCATAAATAAACGGTACCTGAAAGGAATTCTTGGGCTCACTAAATAATCACGACATCATTTCAGCTCTCAGCGAATATGTAACTCACTAAATGGGGTTTAACTAAATCATATCGGAAGCCGTCCATTGATATGAGAAGCAGCTTTGGATGGCGGCTGAGTGCAGTTACCGAGGGTGGCAGGAAGAGAATGACGCCGGTCAGTAACAGTTTGGCCATCCCCATTGACAATCTGAAACAAATTTACCTGTTTGAGCAGACCTAGTAGTCTCTATGAGTTTTGCGTCTTATTATCAGAAGTGCGCTCTGATTGGTAACGACTGATTTGTCACGCCCTACCCAATTTCACATTCGCCGCAACGTAGTTCTCCTGCCCGCATTAGGAGTCAATCTTCGATCTTAGTTCCCTTTTAAAGGCCCTTCCCGCGATGATATTGGGTTGGCACATAAGTACTTTCGTTTTTTTTCAACCGGAAATTTCGTTCCAAAGATGAAATGTTTTGCTAGCG